ATGGGTAGTTCAAAATGTATCAAATTTATAACTTAAAGTCAGATCAAATGGAACACGAAAAATTTATGCTTAAACAAGACAAAACAGAGAGTTGATGCTTATCATGGTTCGTTGTCCGGAATAATTGTTTTCACTTAATGGGTAGTCTAAAAGGTATCAAATTTATAACTTGGGTTCGTGTTCGTGTTCATGTTCGGTAGAATAGATCGAACGGGAACACGAAACACACGAAACACGCGAAACCGGTAAAAGGGGTTACCTTTTTGGGCTTGAAGAAGGGAACGTCCAGTTGGTTTACCAGCTTTGAGGGCCTCATCTGCAAATACAAACAAATCAAAACCCTAAAAGGAAAATAAATGAAAATAAAAGAGAGAGAGAGAGAGAGAGAGAGAGAGAGAGAGAGAGAGAGAAGAAATTACAAGAGAGGAGGTTGGAGTAAGTGAGGGAAATGAAGAGACAGAAAAGGACAAAATAAAGGCAACTTTGACTCGACGCCATGGCTCTGCAACTTTTTGGATTGTCCGTCGAGCAGCTGCGGCGGCGATGGCGGTGGAGCTTTTTATCTCCGCCTGCAGATGGCTGTGAATCAAGCAATTCTTGTTTTTGTGTGTTTTTGGTAAAAGGGTGTTTTGGGATTCATTTTGTTGGGAAAAGGAGAGGAATTTGTAGGGAGGAGAGTGAAAATTTGCATGAAATGAGTTGAGTCCATTGCCTTCTCCTCTTATTGCCACCGACCACCCCTAACTTTTTGTATCCATGTAGTTTTGTTAGGTTAATGGTTGTGTCCGCCACGTGTTCCATTTTGGTCTCTATTGTTTTAGCTTTTGTTGATATGTTTGTTTTTATCCATATGCTCCGGATATTCTATAAGGATAGCACGGTAAGGATATTGTAACGCCCCAGATCCACTACTACTAGATATTGTTCCGTATTGGGCTTTCTCTTTCGGGCTTCCTCTCAAAGCTTAACCAATGTGGACATCACAATCCACCCCCCTTCGGGCCCAACGTCTTCACTGGCACTCTTTCCTTCCTCCAATCGATGTGGGACCGCCCCCAAAATCACAATCCACCCCCCTTCGGGCCCAACGTCTTCACTGGCACTCTTTCCTTCCTCCAATCGATGTGGGACCGCCCCCAAATCCACCCCCTTTAGGGCCCAGCGTCCCCTTCGGGCCCAACGTCTTCGCTGGCACTCTTTCCTTCCTCCAATCGATGTGGGACCGCCCCCAAATCCACCCCCTTTAGGGCCCAGCGTCCTTACTGGCACACCGCCCTTGTGTCTACCCCTTCGGGGAACAGCGAGAAGGCTTGCATATCGTTTGGAACCTGGCTCTGATACCCCCAAATCCACTCCCTTTAGGGCCCAGCGTCCTTACTGGCATACCGCTCTTCGGAGAAGAGCGAGAAGGCTAACACAACGTTCGAATCGACTACAGATCCACCGCTAGCAGATATTGTCCTCTTTGGGCTTTCCCTTTCGAGCTTCCCCTCAAAGCTTTAAAATACGTCTGCTAGGGGAAGGTTTCCACACCCTTATAAATGGTGGTTTATTCTCCTCCCCAACCAATGTGGGACATCACATATATGCTCCAAATAAGGTCGAGAATGAGAAAAAACTTGCATGACATCATGAGCATACCTCAACTAGTCGATTCATTATTTACAAAAAAATTCAAGTCTCTATTCTCCTATATATTTCATTTCCTACCTTAATACGTTTTAATATATATTTTTTTTAAATAAAATCTTTTGTTTTAAATGACGTTTCTTATTCATGAAGTTATGATCCATGAATATGATAGCTTACGAAAAATGCTATCGTAGACTTTTTATAGCGTTTTTTGTACGTGGTGACAGCCCATATTATTAAAAATCTGAGATTTTTTGTACGTCGTAACAACTCATGTTAACAATACGAGAACTGAAGCAAAAATTAAAAACAATAACGAGAAGTTGAAATGTTACCAGCTAAATCTGTATATGAGATCCCACATTAGTTGAAGAGGGGAACGAGGCATTCCTTATAAAGATATAGAATCCTCTCTCTAATACACGCGATACGTAATGGGTTAAAGCAGACAATATCTACTAGCGGTAGACTTCGGCTGTTACATCGTCTTTTAAAGAACTAAGAAATACATCGATCCAAACACGATAGCGAGCGTAATTTTTTGCAATCTTTTGACATCGTTTTAAAGTCAATTCATCGACTTGATTATACCTAATTTTCTTCGTATTTCGTTCATGATATTTGAGGGCTACCACTAATATGCTTATGTAATTCATATCTCTTCCTCTTAATAATCCATTTTAAGTTGACTTTTCTCTCATTTGTTTTGATATTAACTTGAATTTACAAAGTCAACTCTCCATACATATTTTGTTGGTCAACTTATTATTAGTGGTTGATAATGGGGAATCTAAGGTGCAATATTTTAAAATTTATGTACCAATCCACAAATACATGCATCATTTTAAATGAAATTAAATTTCATTTCTTTCTTTGTGGGCACTAGAAATGTCCATTTTACCCTCAGGGTCGGGACCCTGTAATAACTCGCCTCGAACGAGGTCGAACGAGGAGGAGATTTCTCATTTAAACGGAGAATGGGGGAGGAAGTGGATAATATTTTTTCCCGTTAGATAAATGAGGCTGGGGACAAGATTATATTCTCGGTCTTCGCCCTGCCCTATGGACATCTCTACTGGGTACGAAAAATATAATCACGAGAGCTTATACTCAACTTTATATATATATATATATCTGAAAAATACCCTTAATTATGAAGTTACTGTGATTGAGCCACCGAAAAGAAAGATGCACATTATTCGTATAGATAGTGATTTTTAGTTCTTTTAAGTCTTTCTTAGTCATTCTATTCTCGGGATTGCTCTCATTCGGATGTAGTCTTAGTTCATTCATATATCCCTCATTTGCTCGGGTATCACGATATATAAGTTTACCAGCTCAATTAAATTAATTTATATATTCTTGCATGCTCATAAATGTTAAATGATTAAAAGAGTTGATCAAAATTATTATTATTATTATTATTTTTAAAAAAAATTATAAACTATTACTTATTAGAACTAAATATATTTTTTTAAATGAATTAATTTAACGAAAATATGATATATCGGGAAATTGGCACGTGCGGATAGATATTCTAGAATGTGAATTAATTATTTGAAAAAATAAAATTGTCTAAATGGAGCAATGACAGGCCACCACGTTTACAAATTATTCCACTTGACGAATTTACCCTCACCTTTAAATAACTTTACTGTTTTTTAAACTAAATTAATAAAAATAAAAATAAAAAACTTTTTATCTCAAAAATACCCTTAAATTTTAACCTGGAGGCACTGAAAAAGGAACGTATACCGTACAATACTTTAAAACGTGTCTTAATCACCATATCTTCAAGAACGGTCTCGTTTGAATATGCTATCGGTTTCTTCACGTACCCTTAATTTACTTGAGAGCCACACGCCCACCTGTTTCTGCCTTGGTTCGACCTCAAACTGTCTCTATAGCGAAAAATTTCTCGCTTGTATCTCGGAGTAGCGTTCCTATGCAATTACGAACAAAATTAAGTATAATTAGTTTTCCTTCTATTTCAAGAAAAGGCAAATGCAAACGTTGCACATGGTCTCTATAGTGCAAAATAATTGTGCTTTTTCTCATAATATTTAAATGAAAATTTTATATTTTGCAACATTATTGTATCTTATAATGCACTTCTTATACACAAAAATTCTTAAATTCATTTAATTAATATTTACTTTTTTTAATTAAATAAACTCGTCACAATCATACTTTTAAGGCAGCGGACTTGCGATTGTGCGGCACTCACTTTCCTACGACAAGTGAGCTAAGCCACTTCGTTCTTGCGTCACTTACAACCAAGCAACGTATGCTCGAGCCTCTGGCCTCGATTTTAAGAGAAAGTTTTAGAAAGCGAGGACAAAAAGAGATTTTTGAAAGAGACGTTATATAAGCAAGCAAAAGAGAAATAATTAAATAAAAACACTTATTATTAATATTATCTTTGTATTAGTTATTATTTTTTTTTTTTACTGTATAACGGAAAATACTTTTATATATATGTATATTGATATACAATATATATAATATATATATATGCATACATACGTATATTGATATACAATATATCATATGTATACATATATACATATATATATATATATGCATCTATATATATATATATAGTTGAATCTTCTAGAAGGAATCAACATCAATAATTAAAATTTAAAAAAATAAGCAATCTTCTAGAACCCAACAATTCTTTAGTGAATTTAATTTATTAATTTCTTCAATTTCTCAATTATTTCTTAATAGAGTCAAATTTTAATTATAACCATTTAATAATGATTTGATTTTGAATTAATACTTTCAATTAAATATATATATATATAGTATATATATATATAGTATTTCAAGAAAATAATTACAATTTTATAATTTTAATTTTCTTGATAAAATAAATAAACAAAATTAAAGGGAAAAAAATTAATTAATTGATTGATTTGACTATTGCCATTTTAATATTGGGTATGGTCTTCAAGATTGAAAAAAAAACGTCTTTATTCAACAAATACAAAATAATGGTTATTGATGTTTAAAGTTATTTAAATTTTATAATCTGAAAATTAAAAAATTAAATTGGTTAAAATAAATTTAAAATTTAAAATTATATTTTAAAGTTTGGTTGAAATTGGAGGAAAGAGTGGGATAATGACACGTAGCAGTGAGATTTTCTTTTTTTGAATTAAATTATTATTATTATTATTTTGTTGAAAATTAAAAGAACTAAGAGTAAACGGTGTTGAAATTTAGCGCCTTTAAATCTCTGCGTTGAGGACTCTTCCTTCTCATCTTCCTTCACGTTCTTCAATTTCTTCTTCTTCGATTCAAATTTTCCTCTGATTTCGCTCTTTTTCTTTGATTGTTTGCGGCGATTTTCCATTGGAGCTCTGTGATTTAGCGGCACGAAGTTTCATAGCCCTAAATTTTACGATCTTCTTCTCAACTCAATTCCAGTGCGTCTCTGAATCGAATCGGTAAATTCCTCGTCTCAAATTTTGGTATGTTAGGAACTGGAACTTGAAGATTTCGAGTGTTGAACTTGATTGTTTTTTTTTTTTTTCTTCTGTGGCCGATTCTTGATCGGAAAGTGTTCTTCCATCTTCAATTGAAATTTTAATTTTCGACTTAATGAAGGGACCGCTCTATGGCTTGGAAATGAAGTTAGTTTCCTGTTTTCGTTATGAAATTCTAAAAACTTTTCATCGGAAGAAGATTTGATAACTCATAGTTCTAACTGCATAAAGATTCAGCGTTCTATCTGCATGTTTACTTGATTTTCTATGTGACTGGTCTTTGAAATCCATTTCAGATTGCTAGAAATGTTCTAGAAATCTGGATTTAGATATGGATTTGCATGTTTTAGAAGTGATAGTTTAGTTTGGAGGTCGAATCTTTATTTAATAGAGAGGAAATTGCCAATTCGGTGAAGAATTCTAATCCAAATGTCATTATCTGCCGACTCTTCCATGTTTGGTTTTTTTGTTTTCTATTGATTAACGTGCGGAATTACTCAAGATTTATTTATGTTAGATCTGAATATGGATAGTTTAAATCCAGAAACATTTCTAGAAGGTCAACTCCCAAATAGAATTTGAATTTTTTGGATTGGCTCTTGCTTTAAGTATGCAGGCGGAGGCATTAACCATGGGTTTGTCTTTATAATATTGTCAAGAGCTCTTATCTCCTTGGCCCTATCTTTCCTTGGGGTTGAAGGTATTCATTGTTGTAAAAAGAGCCAGAACAAGTTCATCTTCTTCATGTACATATGAACTTACTTGTTCTTGTTGTCCTGTTCTATTTATATCATCTCTATTTCTTCAAATTTGCATTAGTTTTGTGGGTTTTGATCCAATATTGATCTGAAATCTTATGATTTGGCAGTTTTGGTATCTCAGAAGGGTTCTTTACTACAGAGTATATGGACATGGAGCAGTACTATGAGGAGATTAATTCATTTGGAGAAAACAAGTCTTCCGTGGAGAATTGGAAATCAGCTTTGGATGCCATGGCAGAAACTCAATGTGATTCCTCTGGGCTATTTGACTGTAACATATGCTTAGAGACTGTGAAAGATCCTGTTGTTACACTTTGTGGCCATCTCTTTTGCTGGCCCTGTATTTACAAATGGCTTCATTTTCAGGACAGCTCTACAGAAAAACAAGGCCAACGACTCCAGCAATGTCCGGTTTGTAAGGCGGAAGTTTCTGATGCTACGCTAGTCCCGCTCTATGGCAAAGGTGAAACTCAAGATCCATTCGAAAGCAAGAATTCGCAGCTGGGAATCGTCGTCCCTCGTAGGCCTCAAGGACCTGCTTGCTTTGAGTCACCAAGGGCAACCTCTCACCCTCACCCTCACCCTCACCCTCACCCTGTTCTTCAATTCCAGCAAGGAAATTTATCAGATCAGTCGAACATTTACTATGCTGAAGGAGTATTCGGAGAAATGGTTTATGCGAGAATGTTCGGTGCGATAACGAATCTATATTCATATCCGAACTCGTATCCTCTTGTGTGGAGCAGTAGTCCTAGGATCAGAAGGCATATTTTGCAGACGGATGAATCACTCAATAGAATCTGCATCTTCCTTTTCTGTTGCTCAATTATCTGTCTTCTGTTGTTCTGAGGAGTAGGTTTTTTGTTTTAGTCTCCGACCCATTGTAAAAGAATCGTAGTTCGAACACTGCATGATTGCAGATTGAGTCTGATGTAGGTGTGGCTGAGTGTTGGTGGCGATGTTGCCCCTTGCCTGCCCTTCTTTTGCAGTTGATGTAAATAATAATTTTGCTTAACAGCCTCATTTTCATGGATTCTATCGCATTCTTGACTCTTGGATAACTTGATTGGCCAGTTTCAAACTAACAAAACAGATATTGAAATCGCGGTCCTACCGCTTTCGGAGTAAGTACCTAATAGATTTGGTAGATCTCGTTTCAAGTTAACCATATCTTAAATTGTCAATAAACAATCCATGTGAATCAAGCATTGAAAAGATAACAAAAAACATCACATTGTGGGTCGAAACAGTCGAAACAGGGGTAATGGACCGAGTCTAAGGTCGACAATCCATGGCTATGGCATCCTAGAGCTGTTGGTAGCCAACAGTTCAAATCAAACATATAGACTTGACTCTGGAGATTGCACTCAGCACCCTGTTTTTGACTTCTCTTAATTGTTTATGATATCATAAAGATTGATAGAGGACATAACTTTAACAAACAAACAATCTAAATCTGAAAAAGACATTCATTTCTTCGTTCTTCACTTCAACCTTCTTGGTAAAAGGTTCTAAAATAATATGGTAATAGGTGTGGTAATAGATCAGCTTACTATTGTTTTTGGTCAATCAAAACTACAATTAAAAGATTAACCAACTAACCAATCAAAATCGGTCGAAAACCCATCAAAACCCTGTAAATCAACCAAAACTGTATAAAACTAACTAAAGTCGACTAAGACGGTATAAAACTAACTGAAGTCGACAAGGACTGCATAAAACTAACTAAAGCCGACAAGGACTGCATAAAACTATGAAGTCGATTAAGACTGCACAAAACTAATTAAAGTTGACAAACACGGTATAAAACTAACTAAAGTCGACCATGACTGTATAAAACTAACTAAAGTCGACCAGGACTGCATAAAACTAACTAAATCAGACCATGACTGTATAAAACTAACTAAAGTCGACTAAGACTGTATAATACTAACTGAAGTCGACAAGGACTGCATAAAACTAACTAAAGTCGACCATGACTGTATAAAACTAACTAAAGTCGACCAGGACGGCATAAAACTAACTAAAGCAGACCAACACCGTATAAAACTAACTAGAGTCGATTAAGACTGCATAAAACTAATTAAAGTCGACCAACACTGTACAAAACTAACTAAAGTCGACCAAAACTGTATAAAATAACTGAAGTTGGATAAGACTGTATAAAACTAACTAAAGTCGATCAAAACTGTATAAAACCAAGTAAAGACGACCAAATCCGAAACAACCAACAAATTCCAATTTTCAATTTTATAAAAGGAAACTGGTCAGAAAGTACTGCTTCTGCTAGTTGGTTAATGTTCAGTTTCTGCTTGCACTCCAAGCAGAAGCTCCATTTTCTACTAATATGGGAGGAGTCATAGTCAACAAGATTCAAGATTATGCATGTTTCTATCAGAAGTTCCACTTGCAAAAGTCCCTACAGATCTTAAGCAAAAGAGTTCTTGCCCTCTGTGCTAGTGAAAAGACTAGAGAAACAACATTGAGCCTGAATGAAAATATTCTACTTATTATGTAACGGTCCATATTCACCGCTAGCAGATATTATCCTCTTTGGGCTTTCCCTTTCGGCCTTCCCCTCAAGGCTTTAAAACGCGTCTGCTAGGGGAAAGTTTCCACACCCTTATAACTGGTGGTTTGTTCTCCTCCCCAACCAACGTGGGACATCACATCTTATCCTTCTGCTAGTCAAAAGACGAGGTGATTGGTGAAATGAAAATTATAATGCATACTCAAATTTTGATTTCCAAGGATTCACATGGCATACAAGGTGAGAAACAGGTTCAAAGGAAGAAAAAATTATAGATACCAACTACCTGTACTCTGACTATTACCAGAAGATAAGATTTCCAAATTACAAAAACTAAATATCTTGAAACTATAGGGATCAAATTTGCAATCTAGCCGAAATTGATACTGTGCTATAACAAGGATGACGGGTGGAGAGGAATAAAAACACTTCACTTCATGTCGGAAGTCTCTTCATTCTTTAGCACCTCAGCAAAGTTGAGCTTGTTTAGATCCGAAGCATGATCGATTCTCTCAATATGACCGTCCAGGCCGAATTGATCAAGGGCACTTGACGTTTGGTTGTCACTGTGGGTATAATCTACTAATCTTTCGTTAATATGTGAGGAGATAATGTTGTGTTTCCCAAGAAGTCTCACGATTTCCTCTGCTACCTCCACATTTCCATTTGTTTTCAAGTATTCAAGACATGCGGCCAAGGTATAATAATTAGGCTTCCATCCAGGTGGACTAGCTGAAATTGCTTTCTTCATAGCTTCCACTGCCTTCATCGTCTGATCATTGGCATGATATCCAGTTGCTAGTCGATCCCAAGTGTTTGCTTGTGGTTCCTTGCCATCCTCCATAAGCCTGCCTATATATGCTTCTGCCTTATCCACAAGTCCCTTCTTACAGTAACTATTTACCATCATGTTCGGAATTTTGAAGTCGAAACGTGTATCGCCTGATTCCCATTCCTTCAAGATTTCTTCAGCACCCTCAATATCATCCAGTTTCATTAATGAACTGATTATACAAAGATATCCTGTATTGTATCTTCTTTTCAGATTAGCGTACAAGTTCCAAACCCGATACACCTGATCCTTATTTCCGATAGCAGCATACAGTGTAATGAGACATTCATATGCAAACCACCTTTGCTTATCACCAATGAGTTGCTCTGATCTCTTCAACATCAGTAAACTTTTATCAGAAAGACCAGCTTTGAAGTATCCATTTGCTACGACGAAATACGCGTGCCAATCCATAGAAATTAGTGGGTCTGCCTCCATCTTCAACAAAAGCTTTTCCATGTTTGTTACATCGGAATTAGCTGCATATGCATTCATACGAATGTTGTATGTAAATCGATCACGAGCAATTCCCATCTCTTCCATCTCTTCTATTAATTCATCAAGTTTTTCATGTTTACCCAGATGAGCATAAAGGCCTAACATAGTATTATAAGGTAGTGGTGTTTTCAAAAATCCTAATTCCCTCATCTTCTCCATGAGTGCCTCTGACTTTTCCAATTTTTTATCCTCTACGTAACAGTTAAGAAGTGCTCCATAGACCTTATAATCTCTTGAGGATTCCCTGATGCTGTTAAAATACTTCTCTGCTTGTTCCAAGCCATGAACCTTTGAAATTAAGTGCAACTGAATAGCAATGTCCCCTGGTGACGGTTCTTGGTTCCTTTCATTACTTATCCATTCACACAACTGTTGCCAAACGGATATCAATATTGTCAAATAGTGCACAACGAAGAAAAATTTTTAGTTTACCATGTTGGATGATGAAAGTCCCACATCGGCTAATTTAGGAAATGATCACGAGTTTATAAACAAAGAATACTCTCTCCATTGGTATGAGGCCTTTTGGAGAAGCCCAAAGCAAAGCCATGAGAGTTTATGCTCAAAGTGGACAATACCGTATCATTGTGGAGAGTCGTGTTCGTCTAACATGCTATTAGAGTCATGCCCTAAACTTAGTCGTGCCAATAGATTGGTAAATCCTCAAATGTCGAACAAAGAACTCCATAAGAAAAGGAGTCAGGCCTCCTCAAAGACAGTAAAAAATGACTACGACTCCAAAGGAGTCGGGCCTCGATTAAGGGGAGACGTACTTTGTTCGAGGGGAGGTGTTGGATGATGAAAGTCCCACATCGGCTAATTTAGGGAATGATCATGGGTTTATAAACAAGAATACTCTCTCTATTGGTATGAGGCCTTTTGGGGAAGCCCAAAGTAAAGCCATGAGAGCTTATGCTCAAAGGGGACAATATCATACCATTGTGAAGAGTCGTGTTCGTCTAACATACCATATCTAGATGATCCAAATTCAATGCTTCTATATGAGTGAAGAAGACGAGGAACAGAGATGTATGCCAAGTTGCACCAAAATTTCCATACAAAACTATCTCCACAGTAGGGAAAGAGAACAATGCCATAACAATAAATGAATATTTAGATTCCATCCACTCTCCTCTTCGATCAATTAGACATTCATTATCATACGAAAGGGCCAGACCAGAAAAAGAAGAGCATTCTAAAGTATCGTACAGAAGTAGTAAAAATTAATATGATTTCAGAACAAGTGGTACCTGCAGAGCATGGTTGAAGCGACGGAACCTCCTGAGCTGCTTGATGAGCTTTTGGAGATCAGATTGCTTGACTTCTCGGCCTTCTTCTACCCACTGATCCAGCACGCTAACAATGGAGATTCGAGGATCGCCTGCCTGAGAAACTCTTAGGTAGAGAGAATCCTCTGGACTTCGAAAAGAAGTTGATCCTAAAGTTGAGTAGAATAGAGGCCGCAAAATCCTTGAATTGCAGTAACAACGCCATGGCTGCAAGGAATGGAGCTTCATCATTGTCCGCCTCAGCACTGGCGAGTCGACGGGAAGTTTCAGGCGGAGGGGTTAGGAGGGTTTGCGATCGCAACATTGGTGGCTCCATGGGCCTTCTACAGTGGCCCAGCCCATCAATTTAGGGCTCACTTTTCATCATTTAGGTTAATTTTTTATTAATTAAATTAATTTTAAGAAACTCTAAAATTAAGTTAAGACTCATCCTTTCTTTCTTTTTTAATGAAAAAAATTCATTAAATTCCAAATTATCACGTCATTATTTATAAATTAATAAATTTTACATTTATGATCATTTATAAATTAATATATGTTTCAAATTTAATTTAAATGCAAACATGAAAAATCGGTATTACACCAAGGAATGAGTAATGTGACCATATACTATCGGGGCCATTAGGTGCCAAACTCAGATTTTGAATTTTGATTTGAATTCTGAGCATGAGTCGTTTCAAAATTGTATCAAAGTGGTTCCTCTTTCAATAAGATGTGGTTCGAGGATGGATCAGGGTAGAAGGTAGTGGACACGCGACACCCATTCTGATCTGAATCCTAGGCCTGAATCGTTACAAATGGTATCAGAGAGATTGTGATGTCCCACTTTGGTTGGGGAGGAGAACAAACCACCATTTATAAGGGTGTGTAAACCTTCCTCAGACGCGTTTTAAAGCCTTGAGGGGAAACCCGAAAGGGAAAGCCCAAAGAGGACAATATCTGCTAATGGTGGATATGGGTCGTTACAAATGGTATCAAAGCCAGACACCGAACGATATGCCAGCCTTCTCGTTGTTCCCCGAAGGGGATAGACACGAGGCGGTGTGCTAGTAAGGACGCTAGGCCCCAAAGGGGTGGATTTGGGGGCGGTCCCACATCCCTTAGAGAAAGGAAAGAGTGCCAGCGAGAACGTGGCACTAAAGGGGGTGGATTGTGACATTGGTTGGGGAGGAGAACAAACCACCATTTACAAGGTGTGAAAACCTTCCACTAGCAGACGCGTTTTAAAGCCTCGAGGGAAGCCCGAAAGGGAAAGCCCAAAGAGGACAATATCTGCTAACGGTGGATATGGGTCGTTGCAAATGGTATTAGAGCCAAACACCAAACGATGTGCCAGTCTTCTCGTTGTTCCCCGAAGGGGGGATAGACACGAGGCAGTGTGCCAGTAAGGACGTTGGGCCCAAAGGGGGTGGATTTGGGGGCGATCCCACATCTCTTAGAGGAAGGAAAGAGTGTCAGCGAGGACGCTGGGCCCTAAAGGGGGTGGATTGTGATGTTCCACAATCGTTGGGGAGGAGAACAAACCACCATTTACAAGAGTATGAAAATTTCCCTAGCAGACGCGTTTTAAAGCCTCGAGGGGAAGCCCGAAAGGGAAAGCCCAAAGAGGACATGGGTCGTTACAGAGATACATCTCTCTCCATAAGATATGGTTTAGGGATGAACCAAAGTGGAACCGAGACCACCTTCTTTTTTTTTTCTTTTTTTTTTTTTTT